TATAAACGACATCGCGAAATGAAACCTTAAATGTGATATTTTCAAGTGTATGGTGATATTTTGAGTAGATGTGATTTCCACCCGGCCGCCGCGCTGATATCAAAGGTTTTCTGTTCTCCTCTCATCCTACCAAATGGTATTTTTTCCTCCTCTCTCCATCGTCCAACGGAAATTTAAATTGAGTTGCCTCCAATCTCTTTACCAGTTTCGCAGAAACTACTCTTCATAAGTGTTAATCTTCTCCCTTTTGAGAAAAACTTCCTCTTCCACCTTGCAAATCTCCTCTCAAACATCTCGATCACCGGTTCTCATATCTCTCGTCTTTATATTTCAAAACCCAACGGGGGGCCAAGGTACTTAATCGGTAGCTTCACAGTTCTGCAACCCAAAACACTAGCCTGTTTCCCATAATCCCTCTTATCTCCCAACTTCACCATTTCTGACTTATTCAATTTAATATTCAAGCTCGACTGACAAAATATGAGTGTCATCAGCAAAAAGAGATGAGGTATTTCCACCATATTATCATTCCTAACCCCTCTAATTAAATCCATATCTCTAGCTCTCAACAACGACCTGTCCAAAGATATAATATAATGAACTGTGGGAAGACTGAAAAATTACCGCTGCCTCATATGATGGAGCATTCTTATGGCATGCAACTATCAAATATCAAATCATATGAGTTTTCTATGATAAGAAGGCAGGCACATTCTAAAAACTTACCAAACCAAGTAACTGAAATGTATGACTAGCTTTAGCTTATAACAAATTTTACAAATTATTGCCACTCCTCACTCAAGTGAGCCTTTGTGGTGCCTGCTGTATTGGGTATTCTTCAAACCTAAAGCCTTGGTTCCATCTTTTCCTTCAACATTGATTCGTTTATATATTTGCCTAACTAATTAAACAATTTGTAATTTAAGATTGTACGAGCAGGAGTTTTTTGATAATTTCGCATAACCAATTTTTCTTTTAAGAAAATAAGAATTCATTAAAGAGCACCAAGGATATGGAGCCCAAATACAATAGAAAATAAAAAAAAGAAGTCAGAAGGTCGTTAGACTGTCAAAAGTGTTGGAACCAAACCAAGCCAGACTCTATCAGAAGAATAATAAATATCATTACAAGTTCTTCTAGTTTGATACTTCCAATAATCCACAAAGTAGCCACAGAGACAAGAGAAATAAGTTTTTTCCTTTCCCTATCACCCCAGATACCATGCCACCAACATCGCTCTTCTGCCAAAGAAGTTTATGATTTCTTATTTTAGAGTCTCAGTTTATGAATAAATTGAGAGTAATTATTTCAAATTTATACTCGAAGTTCCTTGCATTTTAATTTTATTTACACCAATTTCAAGCCTAAAACACTTTACAACTATTTATAATTGATATAGTCAAAAGCACACCAGGGAAGAAAAAGAAGTCAACAAAAAAAACATCTGACAAGTCACTGTAGCAATATTTCATATGAAGTACCTCTGGAAACAAATTGGGACAGTCTGCAATGTGCCGGGCAAGATTGACTGAAGCAGGCAAAGTAGGTGCCTCACCCATAGTAATGTTGTTAAAGTAGAAAGCAGCTAAATTATCAACAGCTGAAGCACACTGAAATCGCAAGTTCTAAATCTTTCAGCTAGAACCAATGGGATGCACGGGAAGAAAAGAAATGATGAACAACATTAAAAACAAAGAAAGGTCTACTCAAATTTTATTTTCAGGCTTAATGTCGACTATTTCAACATGAAAATAACAGTTGAAGCTACAAGCTAAGGAGGTAAGGCTATCTGGTATGACTCTTACCTGGGACGAGATATTTGTATCTAGGCCCTTAAGCCCAGATTCAAGGGAACCTACAAGATGCATAAAAGTAGTGGTATCCAGATTCAATATGAAAGCAATATGACTACTGAACAAAACCTCCAAGAATGCGAAGTAGGCCCTTGTAAGCTGCAGAGATGAAAAAAATATAAACTTATCATACAATTAGTCAAACTCAGAAACATGATATGCCTAAAGTATAAAGCCGGAAGGCCAACAAATTAAATTTTAAGCAGATTCTGGTGTAATGACAGTAAAAATGCATTTCTTCTTCTCTCATTGACCTTTCAAGAAAAGTGTCGAAAGGGAAAGAAGCAGATTGGGAAAAAAGAGAAGGAATACGGCCATCATATAGGACATGATATGGCATTTCAACAAAATACATTACTTTAAATGGCACTTCTCCAAAAAATTGATTCATTAAAGGAAAAGGTTGAAATGAAACAAAATGACATTAAATACCCTCAATTAGAAACTAAAAGATCACACCAAGGTTGAAGATATTCTAAATACCTTTCTATATGCTAATTTATCAGCCAATGGAATTGATAGTGTCATCTTCAAAGCAATGTCAAGTGCATCGGAGAGTGCTCTATCACCATATAGTTCAAACACACCAAAGTTGACATAGTTTCCAGAAAGGGCTGCCAGTCGACAGAGAAATATAAATGATCAAATATGAAATGGAGAAAGATAAACAAACTACATTTGATTTTGCCTTTCACGGATTGGTACTCCAAATAACTTAAAATCCTGTATTACCATATGAGGTTCTGCCGGTACTTTTAAGTCAAACTAAAACAAAATCAAGATGTTTTGTGCATTTGTACAAGAATACTCAAGAGACAAACAAGAATTATGATAGAAAACCAGCACCAAAAGAAACATCAAAGACAAGTTTTACACAGATAATTTTAGCTCTATTGTTATTTAAGTAATATGTAAAATTCACTTCAATTTCCCATTTCCAAAACTTTTCCCAATTATACTAATCTCATTAGTAGCATTTCTAAAAGTATCATAAGTTAGCAAGAGTTGAAGATTTTCCCCAACAAATATGACAGTAACAAACAGTTTATTTGGGTACCAAAGTCCACTGCAATCATACATTATAAACTCTACATGTATCTGTAGCTTCATTTGGTTGACTACTCTAGTGAGCTTCAGCTTAAAGTACTTGCTCAAACAAAGATCATAACTACGTTTTATTTATGAGTGGTGAACTCTTCACAGTAATGGCATTAGAACTCATGACAACTCACCCACCTCTAAGTTGGGGAGCAAGTGATGATTGGAGCTAAGCTCCAAGTCAGCTACTTCACTTAATAAGCCAGTACTTTTACCATGTCACGCTAAAAAAAATCTGTGAAGCCCAAAGAAACAGCACTCAACTTTTTTTGGGACAGTACCCAACATAAAGACCTGACACCTTCAAATTCCATATCAATGCTCATCTCTTTCAGACACTCTCTCCATTTTTCATATGAAACATTGTCACCTCTGAAATATTCAGAATATGAAACCAACTATAGAAATAGAATACAATAAAAAGTCAACCAAGAACTAAACAAACGGGACTGGCCGCTTTTATACACTTACCACTGAAGGACATGTTTAGGTCTACATCAATAATTATATTCTATACACAACTAGCTCTAACTTGACGGAAGGAAAGATAAGTAAAAGAAGCAGAGAATGACAGTTCCAGAATGGTGAACCAAACTCACAAGAGTACATCAAGACATTATTATTAACAAATTTTATTTCCAAGAACAGAAAAATTGCCACCAGAGGAGAAATAAATAAAAGAAAAATTGGAAAAAGAAAACTATATTATTTATCAGGTCACATCTATATTGACTCCATTTTAGCCAAACCATGGTAATGTTGCAAACACCCTCTAATTTTGGATCTAAATAATGCTCATTTAATAAGCTTCTCCCACTAGGATGCCCCATGCAGTTTCTTTGTGAGCCTACCCCATACAGAAGCTTTAATATAAAAGTGCTTTCTCATCTGTCAAGTAGCTTCTCGCCCAATTACACTCTCTTTAGTTATATAATTGGAATGTTTCTCCTGGAGCAGTACAATATCCTACTTTCAAGAAATATCCTCATAACTATCCCAGGGACCCAGCGTAAAAAGAAAAAAGATGATAAAAGGAATGCAATATCTTTCTGGAGGGTTCTTTTATTTGGAAACTCAATAATGTTTCAATTGACCTTAGAAGAACTCTTTTGCACAATTAGAAAATAGAAAATAGCTGCCATCTAAATAAGGAACAAAGTTAGATATCTTATATCTAAACTTTGAGTGCAGAACCCTTCAAACAACATGATACCATACTTCTGGGACAACACAGGAGTGCAACTAATCAAATAAAAAGGTCAAAGCCAATGCCATATGCAAGTATGCAAATGGAGTGCAACTAAATTTTAATAAGCAGCATGTACAGCTTGCCAATTGATTAAATTAGATTGAGGTTCATATCTAACCTCTTGACAGAATAGTTAATGAAATCCATATTCCTTTGTATTTGTATGCATATATATCAGCGGCATTTGGAAGAGATAAAATCCTTGTCCCATAAGCTACGATTAATTTACTGACTTCCCGGAAAAGAAGATTCCATTAGGAGAAGATGAATCAAATGTCAGCCGTTGGCTTTTGTTTAACACAAACTCAGCCATGAATTTTAACAATGGGGTCGTAACCTGCAGTGTTGAGTAAAAAAGCCCCTCCCAGGGGAAAAAAATTAAATTTATGAAATTAACATTGCCACAATCACATGTACCAAGAAAATATATAGAAAGAATTCCAGGTTGAAAATTAAACAACAATTAAAAAAGACTAATTTTAATACTGTCAGACACCCAAAAGTTGAAAATTATACAACAATTAAAATAGACTAATTTTAACACTGTCCGACACCCAAAAATTGTTCGTAGAACACAAACTCATCCAGAATTCAATGATTCCCCTCCTTGCCAAATTTCCCAAGTAGATGAACCCATCTATAAGACCCAGTTTGTTCTCCATCCTAATTCAACATATGCAGCTTGACTAAAAATGATACTGTTACAAAAGCTAGTTTCTGATTAAGAGATTACTTCAAGAAATTTAAAGAAAAAAAAAAGATACTATAAAGTACAGAAGAATGAATTGTTTTCTATTTCATTGAATATAAGGGTCCTATATCTACAAGTAAATAACAACAGCAAAAAGAAACAATAAAGATTACAAAAATTTTGGGTACATTACTAATATACCTTTTACCCTAATAAAATCCTAATTTGTATTTCTTAACACTTTTCATCAAGTTGGTGAAGAGATATTATTCATTCTCAGCTTAACAATAATCGTATGAAATACAGGAACTTGATCCTCTAGTCAAAACACCGACAAATTGTGAACTATTTGGCATGTATCGAGTACAAATCAGCCCATTATTCAGCTTCTCTTTGATGAAGTGTCTATCTAATTCAATCTGTTTTGTTCTGTCATGTTGTATTGAATATTGAACAATACTAATCACTGACTCATTGTCCCAATAGAGTCTCATAAGTCCATCCTATTGAATTTTCAAATCTTTGAAAATGATTGTCAACGATAGAAGCTCAGAAACCCCTTTGGCTATAACCCTGAACTTTGTTTCTG